AAGAAAGGTCGTGCAACTAAAAACATGAGACATGTCGTGATTACAAATGTCCTCCCCTTCCAATGATTTTTTTTTGTTCGATAGAAATGCACAAGAATCATAGAATTCTTGGCAAAAGAAGGTATTTGTATTGTTGTTAAAATTCCATGACTGTGTTTTAGGGAACGGTAAAATAACGGCTGAGTTCGGTTACATATCTTCAAAGGAAGTGTGATCAGCTATGCATGTTTCAACTTTTATCTCTTTGTTGTACCAGATACAAGAAACTAGTGCGGAAAGTGTTCTACAGATGTTTTGCCAGGATGTTGATGTTGGACCTAGTGGATCTAGTGGCCATGCTAATCAAGCTAATCAACAGCAGCATTTTCATCCTGATTGTGACCCTTCCTTGCGTATGTGGTAATTGTTTTCTTTAGCTATTAATACAAGACTACAAGTATGATACCTACCTTATTAACATTAATTATGTTTTTTCATTTTAATATGACTATGAATTATCTCAGCAAAAAAAAATCTTATCAGCAGCTCATACATTAGCAAAATACAAATTGATTTTTAAACCTTCTTTTTGGACATAGTACAGTATATCTGAACTATAGATTGCCACCATGCAAATACAAAAATGAATAAAATGCAACGTGCATCAGAAACTGAAGAATGTCACACTAGAACAACTTGTGCAGAATTAACAAAAAAATTCCTTCTCAAATGTGTTTTTGTCTATTAAACTTTTGCATAACATTATCTGTTAAAATCACAGGTATGATCATGCTTACCTGGATCACTTGAACAAGGAATGAATGGATGGATTAGTTGACGCCTTAGCGGAGATATCCTGCGCTGGGTCGACGTGATAATATTTCAATCCAATTCTCTCTTTTATCCATGATTTCTAAGCTTAACCAACCTATTATGTACTACCAATCAAGAGCTCATGTTGTATTGTACTTTAAATTGAAGAGAAGAATTATCTGATTATGTTGGGTGCTCTCTCATTCTGAATTCAAGTACACTGAAAGGTGCACCTTGTCAGTGACAGTGCATAGCTATAAACAATAAGTCACCACCTAAGGCTCTGACAATCATGCGATGAGATGCTGAGAACTTCTTGTAGAGTAATTTTCATCTTGAATAGGCATGTGCGCATTTCGTAATTCTGTCTGACATGTTTATGTTTATAATTGTTCATAAAAGAGAAATGTAGATGATTAGGACACATACAAGAGTACACTAGTAGAAAACAGGGCATCAGTCCCGGTTCCAGAGGGCCTTTAGTCCCGGTTCTCCAACCAGGACTAAACCATCAAGACTAATGCCCATCACTTTTAGTCTCGGTCATGTTACGAACTGGGACTAAAGGGGCTCCACGTGGCCGCTGTGGGGCATCCAAGCAAGAGGACCTTTAGTCCCAGTTTGTAACACCGACCGGGAGTAAAAGGCAGCCACGGGTCAGCAACTGCAAGCGTTGGGGTATTTGTTTTTTTAAGGAGGGGTTTAGGGTTTAGGGGTTTTCATATTGTGTTTCCCTCTTTTCTTTTTGTGTTTACCCTTCAATTCTTTTACGTTTGGGGTTTCATTTTTATTTTATGTTTTCCATTCAACTCGACGCTAGCCACTACATATAGCAAATGAAGGAACCAATACAGAACATCATCATGAACATATAAAGAGAGAAGTGACCTCTCTTTCTCCGTGCTTGGTCGAACAACAAGTTTTCGTATATCTATCCGGCACTACTACATATAATACATGATCATGCATATGTACAATATAACATCTCTTAAGATCCCTAACATCATCTACCAAAATCCCATTGCAATTCCCGATGGTATTCTCGGTCTTCAGGTATGACGTGCTCAACAAAGAATCCCATCAATTCCTCTTCAATTACTCTTATGCGATCATTTGGTAGGAGTTCATTCCGCTTCTCCCAGATCAAATTAAAAGAAAGGGG